TATTATTGATATTTCTCTTAAATATTAATTGTGTGCATACTATCATAAAATTAAGATGTTAATTTTACTACAACGTACGTATTGTGTCGAAAAAAGTGGAGTTTGCGTGTCGGCCCAGTCTCTATTTCAATTAATCCCACATGTTCTGTTATTTCGTTTACGTGTTTCTCGTTTTACGCGGACCTTCACGGGTTCAATTGACCGCGTAAACGAAGACTACTGTAAAAAAAAAATTATTTTTTACAAAATATGTAATGTCTATACTCAAATTATATGCTATCTTTCAAGGATTCCAGCAATGCAAGTTATATTCTGCTAAGTTTGGTCTGAAATTTTTTTTTGAGATAAAAAATTTAAGCCTAAAACTACCTTCACCCCTGGGAAGGGGGAGGTGAAGTTGACAGCCAGGCAGGGGGGGTAAGGTGTGGTGAGGTATTAACCAGCCAGCGACGAAGGTTACCCAGTGCGTTTTTATTTATCTGTCTTATAGAGAGAGTTTAAGTTTTTCGCTTATAAAATGTCACTGAATTGACTTGGGAGAATATACAGGTACTGTAACTTACATTGCTGGAATTCTTGTAAGATAGTGATTAATTTAAAGATAAACATGCTATTGTTTGCACTAGACATAACAATTTTAGTAATTTTTTACAGTATAGTCTGCATTTATGCGGTCAATTGAACCCGTGGAGGTCCGCGTAAAACGAGAAACGCGTAAACGAAATAACAGAACATATGGGATTAATTAAAATAGAGACTGGGCCGACCCCCAAAATCCACTTTTTCCGACACAATACGTACGTTGTAAAAATAACATCTTAATTTTATGATGGTATGCACACATAATTAATATTTAAAAGAAATATCAATAAAATTAGGTTTTTTTAACACTTACGTTAGTAGAAAAGATGAGTCGGCACGCGTGGATGGCAGCTGGTTCCGAGGCAGAGGGCAGGTTAGTTGCCCTCCGGTGAATCACTTTCACTACTCTCAGAGGTTTGCACGGTCTCCCAGACAAACCCCTCAAAGTCCATATCCTCACTGTCACTATCAATATCACTGACTTGGGCTGGCTGTGGTTGTGGCGGGTTGCTGGCGAAGAAGTCCGTAATACTACGTTGACGACTAGCATTGATGTTGTCGAGATACATCTGGATATACGGCTCCATAACTTTCGTCAGATGGTTATTAGACACTTCATACTGATCCTTGTCTGGGTCGTTGTCAAGGATGAGCTTAATTTTCTCCCCCAACTCGACGATTTCCTTCACATAATCATGGTTTGGTCCAGGTAATTCAAGGTTTTTTTCGGGTGGTGGGGGTCCAGCTGAAGCCGTTGTGAGGGGAATAGCGGGCACAAGAGAGAACTGTATACGCAGACTGAGAACAATGAGACTGGCCCTGCTAGGTCAGCGACTTCTGGTGGCAGGGCACGTCATGTTACATTAGACCAATCACAGCTAGTGGCGGAGGGAATGCGTGCGTGGTAAGGATGCGTGGCCCAATCACAGTCCGATAAGTCATATGACGTCAGCGATAACGTAAGAGCAACTTAATGCGCACCCCTCACTGCGCCGCTTCCTGCGTATGGTGAAGAATGGACCTCGTAAGTAAAAAATGGCGCTGCGCGTCTGGACCTCTCCAGCCGCTCGCCGCGTAAATGATGAAATTTACCACGTAATTAAAACATTTCATTCTGGCAAGGCACCGCGTAAACAAAAACCACGTAAATCCAGACTATACTGTAGTACATTTGAGTACATTACAGGTTTGCCCTTACAACAATTATTTCTTTTACACTTTTCACAATATGGATTTAGGATGGTGTGTGCATGTACAGTGATGCGACGGTTAATGTCCTAGATACGTTCTTGGAAACGTGACGTTAGCCGAAATGGACGTTATCCGATCATCACATAAACTTTTTATTTATACTTACGTGTATGTGGAATACTATATACGTACATATACACTTTTACTCTTAAATCACTACTGTAATGTGATACAGGTGATTAATTTTTATCTCTTGTGCAAAATACATGACGTTTATATTAAAATTATTCACTCTTTTACAAGGATTCCAGCAACGCCGGGCAGATGGGAGAGAGAGGGAAGGAGCGAGCGAGGGGGCGTGGGGGGAGGGGAGGTAGTACGTTTGACAGTTGGCACAGGCCCAGGTCTAACGCGTGTATATTTATCAGTTCTTAGGTGACTAAGCTTCTCTCTTATAAAAAGCCAGTGAAATGACCTGGGTGAATATAATTAACATAGCTGGGATTCTTGTAACATACTGATTAATTTGAATATAAACATGCTATAATTTGCACTAGACAAAACAATTTTAGTACCGTAATCAAATTAGTACATGTGCACTCCAGCTTTGCACTAAGAAATCTATGTAAATCTACCCAAAAATACAGTTGAAAAACTTTTTTATAAAATGTACTACAGTACTGTACACTAATGTACAACAATTTTTATCTCTTGAGCAAAATATATGACGTTTATATTCAAATTATTGGCTGTCTTGCAAGGATTCCAGCAATGCAAATTATAATCTCCTAACTTTAGTCTGAGATATTATATAAGATAAAAACTGTAAGCCTAAAAGCCTGGCTGGGGGGAGGGACTGACGGCTCCGCCACCCAGCGAGGGGTTGGGGGGGTTGAGGTGATAAGTTTGAGGTGAAGGTCTCTGTGTGTTTATTTAACAGTCCTACTAAGCTTCTTTCATTTTAAAATGCCAGTGATATGACCTGGAGAATATAATTAACATAGCTGGGATTCCTTGTAAGATACTGATTTATTTGAATATAAACATGTTGTAATTCGCACTAGACATAACAATTTTAGTACCGTAATCAAATTAGTACATGTGCACTCCAGCTTTGCACTAAGGTCATTTATTTCTTTTACGTTTATTTTAGTATGGTGTGTGCATGTAAATGGATGAAAATAAATGAAGAAATTTATGTAAATCTACCCAAAAATACAGTTGAAAAACTTTTTATAAAATGTACTACAGTATTGTACACTAATGTACTACATTTTTTATATCTTGAGCAAAATATATGATGTTTATATTCAAATTAATCTCTGTCTTGCAAGGATTTCAGCAATGCAATTTATATTATCGTAACTTTAGTCTGAGATATTATATAAAATTAACATAAAGAAATCACCAATCTTTTATCTTGAACACGAGGGTGGTAGGAAGAGGAGGGGGAGGGGGGGGAAGGGGGCGGGAGGTGTGGTGACAGAATGTCTGGCGTTTGTTTGTTTATTTATTTGAGATAAGATTTGACAGTTGGCGCTGAAGGCCTGCCTGCGTGTTTATTTATCATTACTTAAAAGTGACTAAGCTCTTCTCATAATTTTCCACCCAAACGACCTGGGTGAATATTACGTACATTGGAGGGATTCTTGTAAGATAGTAATTTATTTGAATGTTTTTTTTTTCAATTTAAATTTTAATTATTTATTCCTTGATAAAGGAAGCGGGATCCTAGTGCTGTCACTTGGTACCCCTGTACCATAACACCAGAAGCAACTGGCCAGTGTCACAAGTATATACAGTCATCCCTTGGTTATCACGCCTAATTGGGACCCCGCCGATAACAAAAGTACAGAACCTATGGGATTTATTCTAATTGGTTCAGGCACCCATTTTACGACCATTTATACCCACTAAATATATATGTAATGTTATGGTAAATATCATAAACGCACATAGGTATGGCTAGGTTTATTACAAAGTGATGAAAGGGGTACGCTTAATACTGTAGTCCACAAAACATGTAGCTATGCTTTTTTTTTATTTGGTCCCGAGTCATACGAGTCCGTTTTCTCTCACATCAGGATGCCCGAGTCCTCCGTTTTCTCTCTTAATCTTAGAGTGCACCAGAAACTTTACTATTTTTAGTAATGCCACAGAATTTGAAATTGCAACCCCAATTGCAACTTGCAATTGTTGAGGCAACTAGATGTGTCTGATTACAGCAAATGTGTTATTGTCAATTTGTAGGTGAAAGATTTTATCTTCAATAGATGTAGGTTAACATTTCACCTGTAGGCAAATGCTTAGAAAAGCCTAAGTAAGGAAGCATATTCCTTTAACACATAATATCTGACCAGTATGGGGAGGCGTCACTTTTTTTTTTGGGTGGGGGATGGGGGGGCACAGACGTATATGCGATCGGACATTGTTCGGTCAGACGTTAACCGGCGCATGACTGTAAATGAGTCAAAATAAATGGAGAAATTTATGTATATCTACCCAAAAATACGAGTTGAAAAAACTTGTATTAGAGTGTACTACACTAATCGACTAAAATTTTTATCTCCCCTGCAAAATACAGTATATGATGTCTATATTCAAATTATCCGCTGTCTTGCAAGGATTCCAGCAATGCAAGTTATATTCTCCAAATTTTTTGTCATTGACATTTTATAAGATAAAAACTTTAAGCCTAAAATTACCTTCACCCTGGTTTGGGAATGCTTCTTAATGAGACTACTTATCCCAGAACCCCCAATTTTTTTTGTCCGAATCTTCCGAAATCCAGATTTAACAGGTCCGGATCTTCGAGGGTTTACTGTATTACTTATGAGATTTTTTTTTTCTTGAATTTAGATCAAAGGTTTTGATGCCATCCACTATATTTACAATGATAAATGAGGCCCAGAGCTTACAAAAGGTTGGGTACCACTGCCTTGGGGTTTGATTTCACCTTCCTTAATACTTTTAGCTTATTATTTCACTTTACTTTTCTTATCTCGGTCTTAATCCTATTGGCCAACACTTTATAATAATCTCAGAGGTAAAGTTCACGACGATTTATTCTACCTATAGCCTTCCTTTGTCCAAAAATATTCTTCAAATTAATATTTATCCATTTGGGGTCATTGTTATTTTATCTGAGTTTTCTATATGGTATATGGTGCCTTTTTGCATTAAGTAAATCACTATTTAAATTGTTACCTTCTTTTTCTGTGTTACAGATGTTCAGGAGAAAGAGTGAAGTAACATCAAAGAATGCTGTGCAGTATCGCTTTGAAGTGGATGACAAGAGGTTTGTCTAACTCAAACTTATTGGTCTAGGTTAGGTTAGTTAAGTTAAGTTTGGTTAGGGTAGTTTAAATAAAATTTTCAGCATTGGTTTGTAGTGAGTGATACAGTCAGTTCTTCTATAACGCGATAGTTGTGTTCTTGTAAAACCTCATGTTATAGAAATTCGCGCAATAGAAATAACAGGGCTTATGGAGAAAATGGGGTTAGGTGCAGATTACTCGAAATCGAAAAAAATTTAGTAGTTAGCCTAACACAAAGGATAGCACAGTCTAAATAAATGTTACATTCATATCTAATAATGAAATCATACAGTAAATGTAACACTTTACCTTGAAAAAATATGAATATAACTTGATGGGGGAGAAGGGTGATTTTGGGGTTGATAACATTGAGCTTCTCTTCAAGTGTTATAGCCTTTCTTTTACGATCATCACCGGGAATGCGATCACCAGAATGCTTCTTGGAGATATTCATCTTTACCATATTCACAGTTGATACCACAAAATTGGAGAAATAGTAAGCAAAAATCGCGTTACAGCAAACAAGCGTTCGCGTTTTACAAATATCGTTCCTCTATTCATAAATCGCGTTATAGCCAATTCGCGTTGTCAAAACATGCGTTATAGCAGAACTCACTGTACACACATTGTAGATAGAAGCTGGTGGAGAAATTTATTTACAAATATCTGTTCTTTACATACACCATAGCTCAATTTTGTAACCTGTGCAGGTTGGATTGCTGTGGTCCTACCCACACTCCACCTTTCTGCTTTCTCACCACCAGCTCCATGATCTCCACCACTACCTCTATTATCACCACCTAAATCATAATTTCACCTTCCACCCACTGCAACTCACCCCAACACTGCTCCTCTCACTCATTCTACTGTAACTGTCATTCATGATACAATAGTGTACAGTATTGTTTATAATTTTTTTTACTCCATAATTTGAAATTTATGTAACGTAACAGTAAATCCAATGAAATATGGCAAGGAGGGAGGAGAGTTAAGTGCAGACGACACACTCAACTAGCAGCAGTCACTCACTCAACTCACTCTCCTTACTGGCACCAGTTGCCAGGCGTATGATCGAAATACAGTAAAACTCGATTAACCGACTTTCGGATTAACCGTCGATCCCAGACCCCTAAAATAAATAAATAAGTTTTATTTTCCATATCCCAGTGCATATAGTGCTTAGAATAAATTTTTTTTTGTTTACTCACTGCATATAGTGCATGAAATAAACAACTCTTATACAGGTTGACAATTCTTTATCCAGAATTATGAAAACCGAAACGCTCTGAAAACTTAAAGTTTCTTTTGGTACATCACTCGTGTGATATCGAACATGACTTGGACCTGATGCTACCGGGCGCTTGACTAACGCGGGACAGCTGGTGTGAGTGAGGCATCACTCACAATAATATGCATTTTATGGAAAATTATATATTGCACGTATATATTTTTTTGTGTACTGTACTTACACAGATTTCAAATTGGGCGCATTTTTGTTTTAATTGGGCGCCATGAGTACCTATCGAGCTGGCAACACTGATCGGGCCTTAGTCTTCGTCAAGATACTGCAGAGTATGCTACTCCTTCTGAATGCGTATTTGTGCTTCCATGTGTTTGCTAAAGTGACAATGACGCCAACTAAAGGCAAAAGGAAGCTTGTTGTGCTTAGCATTAATGATAAGTTGAAAATACTAAACCAATTGAAGGAAGCAAGATCAATAGCAAGCCTCGCGGTTGAGTATAATGTAGGTGTTACAACAGTGAAAGATCTGAGGCATAATCAGGATAAGATAAAGGGTTTTTCTCTTAAGTTTGATATTAGTGAAAAGGGAAAGGAAGCCACCTCAATCAGAAAAACATTGAAATTGCCGAAAGATAGTGAATTAGAAGAATAGGTTTACAGGTGGTTTTCACAACAAAGATCAAGTGGTGTTCCCGTTCGTGGTTGTGACATCCAGCATGCTGCTGAACGTCTTGCCCAGCATCTCGGTGTGGCACATTTCAAGGCTAGTTCTGGTTGGCTTTGGCGGTTTCGTAAGCGCCACGGCATCAGTAATAAGCCTGTGTGTGGTGAGAGTCTCAGTGCAGATCTTGAGGCTATAGAGCCTTTTTGTTAGAAATTGAACGAGGTCATTCAGTCTGCCAAACTTGAAAAATTTCAGCTTTACAATGCAAATGAAACTGGGTTATTTTGGAAGGCAGTCCCAAAGAACACACAAGCGGAAAACAAATCTTCTAGCACACCCGATCGGAAACTGAATAAACAGAGAGTGTCTGCATTATTTTGCGCCAACGCTGATGGCTCACACCGGTTGAAACCTGCGATGGTGGGGAAGTCGAGGCAGCCTAGATTGTTAAAGGATGTAATGCATAAATTACCAGTGTACTACAGTCAACCCTCACTTTACGCGGTCCCACATTCCGCGTTTCTACGTTTACGCGGTGCCCTGGCAGAACCCAGGATGCTCACATTCCGCAGTGGGTGTACCCCTTTACACGGGTGAAGTATAATTTTTTTATTTAGCTCATAAAATTCATACAAATTATCCGGCCAGAATATAATTTACATTGCTGGAATTCTTACAATTTGATGATCATTTTGAATATAAACATCATAGATTTTGCATTAGACATACAAATTTTAGATATAATGTTTACTCTTGAGTAAATATGTTATCTTTTGTGCAAAATATATGATATTTATATTCAAAATATTCCTGGTCTTACAAGGAATCCAGCAATGTCAATTATATTATCCTAACTTTAGTCTGATTTATTATTTATTACTAAAAAGGTAAACAGTCTGGTATTCCCACACATTTATCTAGTAGGGACGGTTGGTGGGGGGTGGGGGGGAGGGAGGGAGGGACCGGCGACCGACCATCTGTTACCGTGTGAAGAATATATTTTTTTTTATTAACTGAAGATTTTTATTTTAGCTCATAAAATTCATACAAATTACCCGGCCAGAATATAATTTACATTGCTGGAATTCTTACAATTTGATGATCATTTTGAATATAAACATCATATATTTTGCATTAGACATAAAATTTTTAGATATAATGTTCACTCTGAGTAAATATGTTATCTTTTGTGCAAAATATATGACATTTATATTCAAAATATTCCTGGTCTTACAAGGAATCCAGCAATGTCAATTATATTATCCTAACTTTAGTTTGAGGTATTATTTATTACTATACCTGGTTTTCCCCCCAAAAATTTCTCAGAGAGGGAAGAGCCAGCAGTGTAGTGTGAGAAGAGGGGGAGGGAGTCGAGTCCATTATTTGAATGGACATTAACTTGGCGACTGTATTTCTCTATTTCTCTTAAGTATTAATTGTGTGCATGTACCATCATAAAATTAAGATGTTATTTTTACTAGAACATAGGTATTGTGTTGGAAAAAGTGGAGTTTGGGGGTCAGCTGGTCTCTATTTCATTTAATCCCATATGTTATGTTATTCACTTTACGCGTTTCTCACTTTCCGCGGTACCCTGAGGGTTACATTAACCACGTAAAGTGAGGGTTGACTGTATTATAATAACCCTTCTGTTCGGTTCACCCGCGATATTTGCTTGGACTGGTTTCTGAAAACTGAAGTTGAAATAAGAAAATTTCAAATAGAAGAAAAGGAGGTGAAGCCAGAGGATGTAAAAGCCATTATTTTGTTGGATAACTCTCCTGAGCATCCAGGTGTTGAGAGCTTGACCAGCAGCGACGGCAAAATTAAGTGTATGTTTATGCCTCCCAATACAACATCTCATATCCAGCCGATGGATCAAGGCATAATAGTTGCTGTTAAGAGGATTTACAAAATCTACTTCATGGATGAAGTTATCGTGGTGCTAGAAGATGATGACGGGGAGGAGGATAGGCGAGGTGAGCGTACACTTGAAAACATTCGCTCATATAACATGAAGTCGTGTGTGTTTAATTTAGTCAGAGCATGGAAAAATATTAAGCAGTCAACCTTGCAAAATTGCTGGAAAAAACTTTTGAAAGATGAAGAAGTTGAGTTTGATTTTGATGGGTTTGAAAATGATGATTTATGTGCACACTTACGTCTTGCAGGGGAGCATCATGTTTGTTCTAATGATATAAGTGAATGGTTGGAGGTTGATGATGGTGACCCTGGTTACCAGATACTGTCAGAAGCAGAAATTGCTGCCAGTGTTCAGAATCAAGGCGATGATGAAGAATTAGAAGATGAAGATAATGATGATGATGATGAGGCGAGTAACTTTAAAGGTTAAAAGCTGTCTGATATGCGTGACTGGATCGACCGTATAATTGGACACATTGATTACAGCAATGATCCTTTCTTCCATCTGCACTACGAACATTTACGTACATTGAGAGAGTTGATTATAAAAAGGCAATACCAGAAATTCAAACAGGTGAAGATTGATACTTTCTTTTAACCTAAACCCTATAAAACACCATCATCAAGTGAGCCTGGGCCTTCTATCTCAGCTAACCCTCAACCCTCCTCCTTCTCAGCTGATGCTTCAGATAATCATGCCGATGATCCACTTGTCATGTCAATAGACGAGAGTGATTCAGATAACTAATTCTCTACATAAAACCACAACACAGTGGCTCTACTGTACATGCATTCATGGAAGGATTATGGTTCAGGTTGACAATCCCTTATCCGAAATCCTTGGGGCCAGAGGCATTTCGGAATTTTTCAGTTTTCAGAATGGTTAATTTTTTTTTTTTTTTAATGTGTATTAGCCCACCCGGACATAGATCACTGACCCACATCAGGGCCTGGGGGCGAAAATGTAATAAAAATTATAATAATAATAATAATTCATAGGTCTAGGTCGTGTTTATCACTTTTGATCTTTTTTTCATTCTTGTATTTCTTTATTATTATTATTTTTATTATTATTATTATTATTATTATTATTATTATTTTATTATTACATTTTTACATTACATTACAGTGGTCCCTCGGTTAACGAGCAC